ATTTTATTTATTTAATTTAATCTTTTTTTTTATTTGATTTTATTTGATTTTATTTTATTTTATTTTATTTTATTTTATTTTATTTTATTTTATTTTATTTTATTTTATTTTATTTTATTTTATTTTATTTTATTGTATTTTATTTTATTTTATCTTATTTTTTATTATTTAAAACGATTTTATTTTCTTATTTCACTTGCTTTTTCATTCTATTTTATTTCATTTTATTTTATTGTATTTTTTTTTTATCATACTTCTTTCATTTCATTTTATTTTATTTAATTTTTTTATTTTGTTTATTTTACATTTTTTATAATTTTTTTTTTGTTTACCTTGCCTTATTTTATTTTTTAAAATAACCAACCAACCATTTAGATTCCTTTTTTGTGCCATTTCCTATCTCAAGCAGTTAATACGTAAAACTGTCAATTCCTTCAATTCGGCAAATCAGCTCTTGATATACTTCTTCTTATTCTTCTTTAACCCTGTCAACTACTGGCACTTCTCATCGCTCATTGCTTTTGTAGTACGCCGCTCCTGTCACTGCCACAACTAGTCCAATCGGTTCTTTATGATGATTTCTATCTACCGCCGTGGTAGCAGCAACAGCAATCGTCAAAGCAATACCGACCGACAAATCAGCGCCAATTGGGTTTACAATTTCGAACTTCTTCTTTAGTGATTCGCTACAATTTAGCCAGCGAATTATCGCTGCTATAGCCAACTAATCTATCCATCTCTCATTGCGCTTATTTTCTACCTTGTTTCTTATGGGGAAAAGTGGAATACTTCAAATAATTTTTAAATAGGCACTTGGGATTTTGATTTGACGGTGATTTCTATATGGATTGTAAGTGAGCATATACAATGGGTGTGCTTTTATATGTGCATGTGTACGTGTTTTGCTGTAAGCATGCTCGTACCACATGCTGTTGGCAACTCTCTGATCTATGCCGCCGCAATGAATTTCACTTATCAGACGAAGTCTCTTGCATACATATGTACATACGAGTATATAAATGTTTAGACAAGCTGACAAATGCTTAATGAAGAATACTCGAATACATATATATGTGTATATAAAATACTAACTGGTGTTGGTTGCAACAGGAGCTGATGTTTTTTAAATTCAAATAGCTGAGATTAAAGCTTTCAGTTCAACAAAGTAATTTTAAAGTTCAATGAATCTCCTCATGAGCTTAGAGTGGTTCTTCTGCACAATATATTTGGCTTTGGTACGCGATCCTCAAACTTTGAGCGTAATTCGTCGCGGTTCTTCTGTGAGCAAGATGACAACGTTGGCAGTACGGTTGGGTTGAGCTTAGAATATTCAATGAAAATATTTTTGAATACACACTTTACGCAGCATGTGCCAAGCCCGTGGGCACATCGACATGCTGCTTGCCTGGCGTATAAACCAAACAGGTGGCAAGAGTTCAAGTTGATGTTTATCCCGAAGCCGGTTAAAGAAGATTACAAATAACAAATACTCCCTGAGCGGCTGTCTTCCATACAATATGCATACGTCAAAAGTAAAAAGTTACCATAGCATAGTCGGAACCTTTCAACAATGCAAAAAAATTGGCTCATTACCCAAGCTAAATTGGCTGGGTGGAGTATATGTTGGGCAATAGACGGGACATTCATGCTTGAAAGCTTATGAAAGTTGTAGACTTTATCTAATAAATTAGCATTCCATGTTAGGCATTTCGTCCCCGTCACTGTGAATTTCCTTTATAAAAGGTAACTATAGTATGCTAAGCGGATGACCTTTCTTCCGACAAGCATATTGGCCAAATAACATATAAGTTACGTATGATCAGTAGGCGTTAGGAGTTTTGAAAAGAAAGATTTTGTTTAAGATTTATGATCCTCTGCGAGTTGAGAACACCAAATACTGCAGCCGATGGAACGAAGAACTGTACGAGTCATACGGCGACATTGAGTGAATCAGTGAATCAAGAGACAGCGGCTACGCTCAACGACTATATTTCTGTCTAAAAATCAGAGATTTTCGACACTGCTGAAGAGTACAAATCGACAACTGATTTATTAGGAAAATCTGCAGGGTTTCAGCGAATAGTTTTGGGCCCTGGTTTAAGCCAATTGAGACGTCATATCACAAGCGATGGCCCAACCTTCGCCTGCCTGACAAAAATTGGAAGAATATTTATAAAATCAAGCAAATAAGGTGGGGAGTACAATGTAATTATTCAATAGCTTTTGTGAAGTCGCTAGGGATCAAGTCTTCAACCTTCCTCTTCGATGTGATATTCCTAGCAAATCTCACGTATTCTGTTTCAGTTACCTCCCCAAGGAGTTGTGTGCATTTTAAATTACTAGATTTGCCTTTAAGGAACTATTTTTTAATTAAAACAGACAACGCCCCGCAATCAGAACTATTTACTTATATTCCTGAACTCTAGATGACGCCTATGAGATGAAGAAAAGAGCGAAATAATTAAAAAGTGCCGCAAAATAATGCTCACAACATTTGATGAGCTGTCAGTGGTTGCCGACTTGTCAGTTAGACTGACTGCTGTTGAGCGCCACGTTGCAGTCAGGCGCTGTGAGACCATTTATTTTGTTGTCCATCAAAAAGGGTACAATTACATACGTTACATATCACCGTATACATTTAAAACAGAATATACTTATGTGTATTAATAGGTAAGTAGTAATGTATGAAGTATGCGTGCTGGAGTCACTCATAAATTGGCTGCAAATATTGTTGCCACTACATAGGCACGGCGCGCGCAAGAGCTGCAATTAACTGGTGCAGCTAAGCAGAGTAAGCTTGAAGCATATAAGGAGAGGCTATGTTCAATTGGAACTGAATGTTAAATATCAGCAGTAGAACGGTGTAGATGCTAGCAAGAGCTTAAAAAATAGCTCAAAATTATTTTTGAGATTTTAGAAAATAAACAGAGTAACGACACACAAAAAATTATATTATATAGAAAAATTTCTCTCTGAAAAAAATTGACCGAGAAAGAAATTTAGCTTTTGTTTGTAAAAATTCGCATATTTCGATGAGTTACTATGCAATTTTTATTTCTGTGGTTCCTGGAAAGTTTTGTACCTCTTCGGAAAATCTGTAAATATATATATGAATCGATTTACTTGAACTTTGGTTTGTACGTAGCTTCTACTTATAAAGGGTGATTTTTTAAGAGAATTCAGAAAATTGCATGAATTCTGTATGTGAATCGATTGTACGGTCCATATAATTTAATGTTTTAAGATTATTTCATGCAAAAGTTGACCGTGACTGCGCCTCAAACGGTCGATCCGCTTAGTCCAATTTAGGCATACTCTTTCACTCTCACGAATAAATGCTTCAATGTTGTCCTCCAATGCGTCAATTGTATCGGACTTGTCTGTATGGACATTAGATTTAACATTGCCGCACAAAAAATAGCCTAAAAGTGAAATAAATAGTTCACCGGGCGACAACGGTTAGCTCAGAGCGAAAGGTCGATAAAATGATTGGACTGCTATAGTTAACGGCTAACAGCAAAACGTGATACAGAAAACCGTTGGTATACTATCACTTTTTGCACTCGGAATGAATGGTTAACAAAATGAGATACACATTCTCAAGCTATATCCGGAAAACACGGCTTCGAACCATATTAAGGAAGCAAATATAGAAATTCTACAAGAAGGGATTAAAATTGAATGACTTCGCTGTTGCCGAAATCTTTTGCGCTGAGTCAGATCTAAGAAAATCTCTCAAGATTCCGGTAATAGTAGTAGCAGCAGTAACGCAGTAAAGGAAGGAAGACATGAATGAGACCCTAGAGTACGTCCGCTGATTCCATCTAGCCTTATCCATAACTCTTAGTTCAAAGTGCTAGATGAACTCTCAAAAGTGGGTATGTATGCCTATTTTAACCTTGTCAAAAAGTGTAACCTAATCTAACCAAACTATTAATATGAGCAGTCGGGGATTTAAGATTAATTTAGAGCCGATATTGAAACTTTATAAACTTAATATATTTTAGGTGGTAATTTTTCCTCTCACTAATTATCGCATGCTTTGGAGAGCCGGGCTTCGGTTGCCACGACAATTTTTTGGGATAAAAAAAACTTAACAAAGTGAAGAGACCTAAGTTAGTTAAAAATTATTACATGTATATATATATTCCTTGTTGTATAAATTTTGGAAAAAAAAATGGAATTTTCGAAAAAGCTTTTGCATTTTTTTCAGCTGAAAATTTACTGTTGCTCATAAGAATTTTTTTTTTTTTTGTATATTGACAGTAAAAATTCTTTAAAAAAATCGTAGTTCTTAATTGAATTAGTTAAAAAACTATTATTTTTTGTATAAATTGTAGAAAAAAATTTAATATTCGAAAAATCTTTTGTATTTTTTCAGTGAAAAATTTGTTGCTGCTGATAGGAAATATTTTTTTTTTATATTTTGATTATTTTGATTTTTTTCTGTGTAAAATTTATTGCTACTACAAAGAAATTTTTTTTGTATATTGATTGTAAAAGTTCTTAAATCGTAGTTCTTCATTTAGTTAGTTAGAAATTATTATTTTTTGTATAAAGAGTAGAAAAAAAATTTAGTATTCGAAAAAAACGTTTGTATTTTTTTCAGTTGGAATTTTTTTGCTATTCATAATAAATTTTTTTTTTATATTGACTGCAAAAATTCTTAATACAGAATCACATGGCACACTGTGTACTGTATGTATGTACGAGTACATAAGTAGTACATTTATATATGTATACGCCTATTCAACGACGTTTACGCACAGCAATCAATCAAGAACTGCTTGCAATGCATTTCGCTTAAATACAACATTTACTACCGTAATTCTAGCCAGCAGTGTTCTTTTTCATCTACCCCACCACGCAACAAATACAATAATTATCCAAGAGCACATACACATACATGTTTAGACATGAGCACATGCATACACACGCGTAGATTAAATATTATGATATGGCTTATTGTGGTATTATTTTATTTTTGTAAGCTCACTCACCTTTCCGTAACTATTCAACGGCCCATTAATCCAACGATCGGCCTCTAAACGGCCACTAAGCAAAGCTCCCGTATCTGGATCGATGCGTTGCCATTCGCGCACTTCACGTTGGAAGGGGGAACGTGGCGAACCGCTATTATTATTGCTATTATCTGTTGCCACTGCCGCCGCCGCCGCCGCCGTCGCTGACGCTGCTGTGCTGACTGTGAGGCAATTATTATTTTGTTGTTGTTGCTGTTGTGGTTTCTGTGCTTGCGATTGCTGTTGGTGCTTAGCCATTGGCAAACGATGTGCTGGGTGATGCAGTTGATGACCAAGACGACTGAGACCAAGATGATGATGAGGTTGATTGTGATGATGATGATTATTTGTTGTTGCTACTTCCATTTTAGTTTTTGTTTTCAATTACACTTCAGCATAAAATATATGTATATATATATTTATATATATATGTATGTATATAAATGTATGTATTCTTAGTGTTGCATGCTACAATGCGTTGATTTGGTATGCGTTGTGCGTTTTTGTTGTTGTAGTTTTTATGCGTTCTTTTTGTTGTTGTTGTTGTCTTTTTAACTTCTTACACTTAGTTTCACTCGGCTGCTGTATTTTTCCACTTGTGATTGCGTTTCCTGCTTTGCGATTCAATCTCCTTCTCTGTGTTTTTTCTTCTTCTTCTATTTCTTCTACTTGTTCTTCGTTTGCTGCTAAATTAATGGCAAGTTTAATTTATTATCATAATAATAATTTACGCTACACGCGCATTGCATTTATTTAACTAACTAACTAGTCGGAACGTTTGGTGAGCTACTGAATTCTTCTTCTTCTTCGTCTTCTTCTTCTTTGCGTGTGATTTTCAACTCAATTCCTTCAGTGTTCATGTGGTGAAAGAGATAGTGACCATTGCTGGCCAGTTCACGCTCTAATTTTTTCGCTGATATGCGTTCTTCTGTAATTAAAGTAGATGCACAGTTAGATTTATTAGATTTTGCGTTTCATCAAAATTATACTTGATAATAAGTAGAAAGGAAAGAAAGTTCAAATATTTTAGGGCGGCTTAATTATGATGTGGCGTAGCTTCAAATATTCGTACAAGTAATAATGGTATAATGAAAAATAATGTTTATAATATTTAATTAAAAAAATGAGAGATTTTATAAAAAAAATTTAAAAAATAAGAAGAAATTAAAAATTAAAAAATTAATAAATAAAAAAAGATACAATAAGAAATAAAAATAAAATAAACAAAAAAGAGTACCAGTCCTTTTTCCTTTTATAAACACATCAATATTAGTGCAGAATACCAAATTCGATATTCAGTACTTATTTATTTATTTGTGTGAAATATAATTATTAATAATTACATTACATAAAAGGCAACTAGCGGCTTGGGCTATCGGCCTGTCAGTACTTATTTAAACTAGCCTGAGTAGAGTACCAAAATTCACGCTTCCAGAATTTCTTTTTTTTTGGGATTACCACCTATTTGAACAATTTCATTGTGTGAGGGGTATTTGATATAATCCACCGATTGCAATGATTTTCAGTGACAACGTTGATTTGCGATTATAAGCGAATAATAACAAAGTTAATGAGTTCAGTTGAGTACAATTGCTGCTGCTGTTGGCCTATACAGCTCTCTTATGTCAGTAGGCTCATTGTGATAACGCAGTGAGGTTTCTGTGTTCATCTTCTCCGATGGTCGTACCATTTCGTGCAGATGTAAAGGCTGGACAGTGTCAAAGCTTGTGTTTAATAGACTCTTCTTCGTCCCTACAGCTGCAACGAAAATCATTGGAGTGGTAGCAAAATTCTTTTCCCGTGAAACCCCACTAAACAGTGGCCTTTTGTTATGCCTGTGGTTATATTAATGGACGACCGGTCTAGAAGACTTTGTTGTTTTGATTTTATCGCACCCAACTTTGGCCTAAGCTGTCTGGTCACATTGCATGTGATCTTCTCAGGCCAACTTGAGCTTTCTTCTGTGGCAAGTCCAGTTTTAGTATATACTTTGCCGTGGACAAAGGTGAACCCGCATCGTGTGCATGTGCAATTGTAGATAGAAGGGTCCCTTCACTTGCTAATTCGTCTGCCATGTAATCGTCTGTGATGTCACTGTGTCCAGGTCCCAAACTGCGGCGGTGTTGAATATAATCGATACTTTGTTCAACTTGTTTCTACATTTTAAGTCACCATTGTTTTGGTACTGTTGCATTACAAAGATCCCATGACAGCTTGACTTTGGTAATATAACGTAATTGATTGGCTTGCTGCCGTAGATATGAGCAGCCAATCGGCGTTTTCCATGATAGCAAAGAGTTCTGCTTGGATGACACTGCAGTGGTCTGATAGTCTCATGCTCATATTTATTGAGAACATGGAAGAGTTGACTACGCAGTCCACTATTCCATAATGCCATAGATTTGAAAAGAAAAAAAAAACAAAAAAATCTTCGAAGCATATAATGAAGGTGGGGTAGTCCAGCTCCTTCGGCACTTGAGCAAGAGATAAAATTTTAGCGTGTCCACACTGCAGGTTTTCAAAGGTCGAGTGACATTCAGTCTAATTGGCTTACAGTTTGCTTGTAAATTGTCGTATAGGTACAGAAGGAGGAAGTTGAGAAGAGTGAGCTGTGATTTTTTAGGCAGTTGCTGGCAGTTTCCCTGTTAGCAGGATTAGCAGTCGATCATTGAATTCTCTCCAATTTGTTATTTAAAGTAATTTAATCGAGTGACAGCCACCACCATACGGCGACCGCGGAGAGTAAGAGTGCTCTAACTACCGATGATATATGTTTTTAGAATATTGTGCAGAACCAGCGGAGCCGCTGTATTTTCATTCGCGGAATTATATTAGCGTCATCGTATAATTCGTACAGCTCATCGTTTCATCATCTGCGGTGTTCGCTACGCTTCTGCACCATATAGTACGACAGCAATGATGAGGGACTGTAGAATTTGGTCTTCGTTGGAGAAGAGAATTTTATTTTTCAATTGCTTACTCGGTCCAAAATAGCACCTATTGGCCAAAGCGGGATTCTGCGTTGGATTTCAAGGCTGATATTATTATTGGTATTGATATAGACGACTTCAAAGTTATGAAAATTAGATAAATAAATTTTTTTATAATTTTGGATGTTCGTCGAAGAATGTTGAAAAATTCGATTGAAAAACCGTCGAGATTCTACACATTTTTTCAGTTTTTCTCGTGCTGAGAAACACTGTTCTTTAAGCAGCTCATCACTGTTAGACCAAAATATTAATATACAGGAATTTTTAAATTTAATTCAACCATATTATTCCATTGTAGCAACAACTCGTCTCAATTTATGGCATCCTCTGTATGCTGCTTCTTTACTTCTCATGATATTCTCAATATTCGTTCTCAAGGCTATAATCTCAGTAGGGTTAAAGTAATACTCCTTTTAATTAAAGGCGTAGCCCTTCACTCGTACCCAAAGTGACTCCGGTCCTTTTTATACTGTTTTTCCAAGGCCGCACACCATCTACATATATCTATATTTGCCAAAATCTATCACAAAAAGTCTTTCGAAGAATCCACATGATTATTCTAAGGGTAAATTCCTCAATACAGCACTTCATAATAAGCCGAAAAGCAAAACATTAAAATTTACTTTGACAGAGAGAGCAACGAATGGATCTGTAACAGCCCATGGCACATCTCGTGGAATTTCTTCTAAAAGCAGCATTAGCAGGACAGTGCCATATTATCAGATAGATGACAAGAGGCACCCCTCGAGGAAGAGTTTTATCTGTCGGCATAATCCTGGAGGGGAAGAGGGGGGGAACAGGATATTGGACATGTCCAAATATTAGCCCCTGAAAAATTCCCGAAAGAGCTGAACTGCAACAGCACCAAATTCTGCTTTCACTATTTCTTTTTCCACAAGCAACCGAACAAAAAAAAATGGGTAAACATAAATGCTATGAATCAGAGAGCCGCATACATATTTACTGAGAGGTTCAAACTGGAAGGCAGAGCAGACTGTGGGATACATTACCCGTTTCTATGACTTTACGTGAATTTAAGATTCTCAGAACTTATTGCGAAGAGGGCCGCTACTTTAACCACAACCTACTACTGTACACAGGCTGTTCATCTGAGTTCATTTAACACTCATGACGTAATTACTCTTAACGTCAATTTTTATTTAGAATAAATTCAAACTTTTGTTTCACTAATTATATATATTTAAGCATGAAGTAACATAATTATTCATTACCAACTACCATAAGTCAAACCAGAAAATCAACAAGAGTAGGCACCAAATAAACAACTGTCAAGCTTAAGCTTCTAGTTATGGGCAAGTAGGCAAGAAACCAGTTGTGGAGCAGCGGTAATAAACACGCATGCGTTCTATGGTTGCATAGGAGAAAAAAAAACATAATCTGAGCAATAATGCAAAAGTAATGAATTTATGTCATTATCTAGTTAATATCCAATGAATAAATGTATGTATAAGAATATTTTATTTCATACTTTTTTCTGAAAATGAATGCATGTTGATACTTAAAAGCAGCTCTTTCACTCACCCGTCAAGCAATAATATTTTTTTGCTGTCCTTCTCGCTTTATCTCAACAACTATCACCTGACCGCTACATAAACGAGAACAAGTTTCAGTTTCCGTTGGCATTATTATGGTATTTTTATGAGAACTATTTTTTATTAAGTTTTCTTTATTATTTTCATATATTTAAACTAAGACTAATTTTGTAAATTTCTTCTTTTCAGTTTACTACACACAGTGTGAATGCAAATCAGATATTAGCCATGAAGTTACCATTATTGTCGGCTGCTGAGATGAAAAAGTAGCGCACGCGACTAAATGCCTGAAGCTTTGTAAGAATTCGAAGAGAGCTTTATAAAAAGAAAAAGAATAACAAATGTGAATATACATCAAAGTCTAGCGCAAGCGTTCTCAATGTTGCGCATTATCATTTTTTCTACCAACATTCTTCTCCGCATATTTTCCATTTACTTTATTTTTGTGCATAATAAATAAAAAATTTTACTACTTTCACACAACGGTACCGTTATTTCATGGTACTATGCGATGAGGTGCTAAGAAGGCCGCTGGAAAAAGTTTTTTTATCGTTTCTCTATGTTGATTTCCTTAACGTTATTGATGTGGATAGATTGTTGTGAAAAGTTAACAAAAATAGCAAAAAATTAAACAAATAAAAAAATATATGGATTGAAATAAAACAAAATAAATGAGGTAGATAAAGTAAAACGGAAAAAATAAAATAGAAAAAATTTAAGTGAAGTCAAATAAACATATTAAAAAAAAAACTAAAAGAAAATGTAAAAACAATTGTTAAAAGAATTAAAATAAATGAAATAAAATAAACAAAAAAATAAAATAAAATAAAATATCAAATGTAATAAAGCATAAAATAGTATAATATAATATGAAATAAAAAATAAATAAAATAAAAAAATTAAAATGAATTTAAATGAATTATTACAATTTAAAATAAAAATAAATAAAATTTAATAAAACAAATTAAAATAAAAAAAAGTAATTTAAATAAATATAACTAATGTAAAATTTTACAAAATAAAATAAGATGCCATAAAATAAAATAAAAAAATATTAAATGAATTAAAATATAATAAGAAAAATTAGAAATAACAAAATAAAAAAGGAAATTATATAAAAAAATTAACTAAAATAAATAAAAAAAAATGTGATCACAAAAATATTAATAAATAGAATAAAATATAACGAACTAAAACGAAATAAAAATAAAATGAAGTCCCAAAAACAAAATAAACTAAATTATAAAATAATAAAATTCAGTAAAAAAGAATAAAATAAACTAACTTAACTAAAATAAAATGATGTTATAATAACAAAACAAATTAAAAAAAATAAAATTATTCAAATAAAATATAATAAAATAATATCCTACAATTTAAAATAA